CACACAGATCCCAGGCTTCCCATGCACACAGATCCCAGGCTGCCCATGCACACAGATCCCTGGCTCCCCATGCACACAGATCCCAGGCTGCCCACGCACACAGATAGATCTCAGGCTCCCCATGCACACCAGGCTTCCTGAGAACCTCAAGGGGGAGGGAGGGCCATGGCCGGCCCCTGTCTCCAGGCCCCAGGCCAGGCTTTGTCCCCAGGCTCTCTGGGAGGTGGTGGTGCCTCATTCTTGAAGGATGAGCAAGAACAAGACAAGCAGCTGATTCATGGGGTTAAGACAGGGCAGCCTACAGGGTAGATAGGAGGCAAGGCCGCTAGGTGAGGGCTTAGCCTGGGGGGGCGCTGGGAGCCCCTGAAGGCCTGGGAACAGGGTGGGGGTGGGCTGGTGTCAGACCTGAGGGGCGGAGCCTTCTGGCAACTGTGCTGTGGGCGGGCTGGAGCCTGATCCAGGGGCCGAGCTCTGATGCCCCGTGTGTCCTGTGCAGACCTTGAACGCGCTGCTGGCGGTGGGGCCTGGGGCGGGAGAGACCCAGGGCGTGCCTGTGAAGGTGCTGGACTGCGACACCATCTCCCAGGCCAAGGAGAAGATGCTGGACCAGCTCTGCAAAGGCCTGCCGCTCGCCCAGAGGCCGGACTCCCGCACCCTGGATGTCGGTGAGGGCGGAGGGGTGGCCGGGTCCTGAGTCCGCGTTGGGCTTGTCTGGGCCGGGCCTGGACCTGCTCGGGGTCACCTGGGGTCCCCGGGCTGTTGGGTGTAGTGAGTGGGGACTTGCAGGAGGTGAGCCTCAGGGGATGGGGGGGCCGCCAGGCGGTTTCCAGGCCGAGAGGTGGATTCCAGGTCGCATGCTCCTGGTCCTTGGCGAGGTTGGGGGGGGCTGCCCCCGGTGGAGGGCTGTGTCCCCTGGAGGAAGGGACAGGCTCCGGGTCCTGGACCAAGCCCCACCTTCCCCTTGCAGAGTGGCGGTCCGGGGTGGCCGGGCACCTCATCCTTTCTGACGAGGATGTGACTTCCGAGGTCCAGGGTCTGTGGAGGCGCCTGAACACCCTGCAGCATTACAAGGTGCGGGGGGAGGGAAGCTGGAGGAGGGGTCTGTGGGGCGGCTGGCGGAGGGGTCACCAGCTGTGGTCAGCAGGTCCCGGACGGAGCGACCGTGGCCCTGGTCCCCTGCCTCACCAAGCACGCCCTTCGGGAGAACCAGGACTACGTCCCTGGAGAGAGTGAGTGCCCCCCCGCCCCACCCCCGTGCTTGCTCTGCCCGGCAGTGGTGCCCGGCAGTGGTGCCCGGCAGTGGGGAAAGGACCTGGACCCCAGTGGGCCTGTGTCTGCCTCCATTCCACCCAGAGGAGCCTCCCCAGGTGCCCCCCACCCCGGGAGTTGGCAGGACCCCGGCTCAGGGGAGGGGCCCCTGACAGGCGTTCTGGCGCAGGGACCCCCATGCTGGAGGACGTGGATGAGGGGGGCGTCCGGCCCTGGCACCTGGTCAAGCCCAGC